CAAACATCTTACAACATCCAAGTGCTAAAAATGAAACTGCTCTCATTATAATTGGAAAACAAGGAACTGGTAAGAACAATTCTTTACAGATATTTTGTGCAAACTGTTAGAGGGCTATTCGAATCCGAATATGACAAACTTAGAAAACATCTGTGGCAAGTTTAACTCCTCAATAGAGAATATGAAACTTATAGTTTGCAATGAACTTCAAAGTATAGATACAACAAAAGTTTTGAACTCAGATGCTTTGAAGAGTCTTATAACAGACAAAGTTGGAGTTGTTGAAAGAAAGTATAAAGACCAAAGAGTTTGTGAAAATGTTGCAAACTTCATTATGGTTTCAAACAATGCTGTTCCGATGAAGTTAGAAAGTTCTGACAGAAGATATGTAGTTGTCAGAACGTCAGATTCTCATATGCAAGATACAGAATATTTTGACGACTTAGCAGAAACTTTGACATCTGACTTTTACAACCACTTGTTCTCATATTTATGACATTAGATATTTCAAAGTTCAATCCAAGACAAATTCCACATACGAAGAGAGACAAACATTGTTAGAAGCAAACAAGAGTGTATATGAACTGTTCATAGATGAAACTGACTTTGTGTCATTAGATGAAAGGTCATTGTACGATTCGTATAAACAATATTGTCAAGAATATGGTTATATGACAGCGTCTAAACGAACATTCTTGGCAAATGTCAAAAGTCTTTTAGACGTACAGAATGGTGTATATACAAAGAAAAATTTTTATGAGTAAATTTTAAAAAAAATATTTTTTTATCCGATAGAAAAGATGGCAAAATTCATCTCAGTAAACAAGTACATGTCAGGACTTAAAGAAGAACTAGACCCATTCACATATTTGAATGTTTACTTCTACCATTTGAAAAGTCTTCATTCAGCAAAGTTTGGAACATCGAACCAGTTAAGTTTGCTATTGTGACTAAAAATGGTGCGAAATTTGAAGACTTAGACATAGAAGGTTTTTAGCAGTCAAAAGAAAGTTTTGACAGAAGGTTTTCAAACCTTAAAGAAGGCAAAGCATACAAACTTGTTATACCTTATGAACCAAAGAAAGCAGACGACTATGAATATTATGAGTCTAAAGTTGTAGAAGTTCAAGGTAAATTGGGTAAAAAGATTTTAGAGTCTAAGCCAATGTTTACTCCTAAAGAGGAAGAGAACATTGACATTGACCCAGAAATGTTCTAAAAATAAAATTTTATTTTTACATGTCAAATTCTTTTTCTCTGGAACTGGTTCAGGTTCTTTCTTCTCTTCTTCTACTTTCTTTTCTTTCTTTTCTTTCTTCTTCTTTTCTGGTGGAGTTATGTCAAATTTGGCGCAACTATATTTATGTAAAAGTTCTTTGTCCTTTAATAGCTCTTCTATTCTGTTTTCTATTTCATCTTCAAGAAAAGCGCATGTGTCTTCTTTGCATTCTAAGAAATTTTGTTGGACTTCATCTTTCCAAGAGGCGTCATCTCTGTCAACAAGTCTGTCATTGACAAACTTAAAGACTTCTCTGCCTAATGTTTTATGGTTCTTGTCATATTCCCAGAAACAGAACTTTAGAACAAATTCACCTTTCTTGTTTACACTATGTAAGATTTTATGGTCGACAGATGTTTTTGCTGTCGAAAAGCTTGTCTCGAATATAGATAGCGAAATCGCTAGACATTTTCTAAAAGATAAAAATTTTAATTTTTCTAAAATATGTTAGAAAAAAAGTTTGCTGACATTGACAAAAAATTTGAGAATGTTTTAAACAAGACAAGAGGAAGTTAGAAAATGCTCAGATAAAGCCTATACATGACAAGTTCTTATTTGCTCAGAATGGTATAACAGGTCTAATTGCACCACCTGGGTCGGGTAAGACTTTCACTTATCTTAAAATGGCTGCACAACAACAAGAACTAGATGAGAAGAACCCATTCTATGAGTTAGTTGTCATTTGTAGTACTTCTGGTCAATTTTGACCAAACGTCAATTCGTTCAAAGATATTATAAAGAAGTCTAAGTTAGTATGTATAAAGGATACTGAGTTGTTAGATTGGATAAAGAAGTACCAAAGAGAGTTTTGAAGTATAATGCTATAAATGAGTATATAAATTCTAAGTTTAAAGACCCAAATGAGGAAATGCAGAGAATATTAGAGAAGAAACACTTCAGAAACAAACAGAAGAGATAGAATACATTTCGAAGAAATTGCAATCTTACGATTGGAAGACTTACCCTCATAGATGTCTTCTTATCTTAGATGACTTTGCTTCTCATCCTTTGTTAAAGAACAGAGAACAAGATATGTGTCGAATTCTTAAGAAGCTCAGACACTTTAACATTTCAGTCGTAATATGTGTACAGACAGCAAAGAGTTTAAGTAAGGATGTAAAGAGAATACTTACTGACATTATACTTTTCCCCGGATTGTCCGAAGACGATTTCATGGAACTTATGAAAGAGTCCATGGCAGTAAGTTTGACAGACATGAACTATGGGAGAAGTACAAAGTCATACAAGACCCTCATACTTCTTTCAGAATTCATATCTACGCAAACAAAGTTCAAATTGTAAAAAGTCAAGCTTGAAAAATAAAGAGTGCATCTACCCTACTTGTTTGAAGTTGTCAAAATACTCTGTTATTTTTTCCTTTAACAATGGCAAATCTTCTTTGAATGTAAGTATTGTACAACCTTTAATATCATAGTGTGTTTGAGGTAACGTATCTTGAACTATTTGTTTCACATCTTCATTCGGTGTCATTGAAATCGGTAAGTTTTCGCGATAGAACCAATTTCTGTCAGATTTGTAAATCTTAGCAAGGTCGTAAAAGCTTTTGTTGTTTCTTCTGACTAAATGCAACATAACCATATCTCTGTCTTCTTCTTTCTCCAACTCTTCAGTATAAATCATATACTTATAGTTCTTTTCCTTTCTTTTGGTACCGAACGTGGTATTCTTTTCTGAATGCTTTGTCTTTTGCTTCAAGCTTGTTTTCCATCTCTTCACATTCTTGTCTATGAATTTCGTCAAGAAGTCTGTAAATATACCAAGCATAACGAGGCGAAGCCCACATTGCAACAGCATTTACAAGAAGTCTATGTACATAATATCCTCTCAAACCGTTTGGCAATTTTTCACGATTTTCATAGAGTTTTGGCGACTGGGGTTTTTTACTTACTCGCTGTTCTTCACGATTTTCATAGAGTTTTGGCGACTGTGGTTTTTTACTTACTCGCTGTTCTTCACTGTTTTCAGAAAAAAGTATGTCTCGCTGTGCTTCGCTCAAAAGTTCAATAGTGCTTTGGTTCCTAAACCAGTCTTGTGGTTTCTTAGTATCTGGAGCAAAACATGCTGTCAAAATACTTTGCATTTGGTACATATCGTCTTTGACCGAACGAATGAGACGGAGTTGTTTGTTATACTGTATGTACTCGTATTCTTCATTTATAGCTTCATGGACTATAACTGTTGTTGTGTTCTCTGTTGTTGACATATCTGTCTTTACATACAAAATAAAAAAATTTGTTAGAAAAAAATTAGCGTTATTTTCTGACTTTCACAAAAGACCAAAAATAAACGCTTTACATGTATTTTTCAGCAACTTCGTCAAATAATTTTATAGCTTTATCTATCTCATCTACTTCAAAACGTTTCTTTACCTTTTATGGGAGCACCATATATTTTCTCAAACTTTTCAAGTAGTTCTGTTTCTGCAGCTCTCATATCATTAGCAAACACAACCTTGACTCTATTGACTGTACTGTCATATCTTTGAGTTATATTATATGTTCTTCCTATCTTATATCTCTTTGTATTGAAGTCCTTCGGTTTCTGAACGATGTAAAGTAAGCCTTCACTGCAACGTTCCGTATCGAATGAACCATATGTTATGAAGTTATATCCAACAATTGGGTCTAACCATAACAAAACTATTGGTATAAGACTTTTGTCTATAAGATATGCTGCAGTTCCATAGAATCTTACCGATATCATAAGCTCAGGATTTCTTGTCAAAATTTTCTGACTAGAAGCAATTCTAACCCAGTCCTTTGTTTTCTTTCCAGATGGAGATATAATGTCTGACAAAGAATATTTGTTGTATTTCTTTGAGTATCTTACGTTTAAATCACCTATTCTAACCACTTTGGTGTCATTGTCTATCTTTCTAACTGTTTCAAACTCAATGTTTGTCATTTCTGTTCTTACATACAAAATAAAAAAATAAATAAAAATAAAACTAACTTTATTTTTTCTGTCTTAAGGAAATTCATGAAATTTGGTCATTTTTCAGCAAAAATATATTTTATGTTAGCATGTTAGATCTAACACGTTTTCTAACCTCTTTTCTAACATGGTCTAAAACACACAAAACTCATGAAATTTGGTCATTTTTCAGCAAAAATATATTTTATGTTAGCATGTTAGATCTAACACGTTTTCTCACCCGTTTTCTAACATGGTCTAAAACACACAAAACTCATGAATTTTCGTGAATTTCCTTAAGATAGAAAAAATAAAGTTTATGTTAGCATGTTAGATCTCACCTGTTTTCTCACCTCTTTTCTAACATGGTCTAAAACACACAAAACTCATGAATTTTGGTCATTTTTCAGCAAAAATATATTTTAGGTGAAGAGGTGAGATCTCACCTGTTTTCTCACCTGTTTTCTCACCTCTTTTTTTCACAAGCGTTTTACATGAATTGTACGATGTATATTTGAAATCCTAAACAGTTTTGTAGCTTCTATTTCTTCTTTTAGTACATCGAATGTTTTAACTATGCCGAAGGTTTCTTTATACTTCTTCTTGACGTCAGATAGAAGGAAATCGTCAGCAGTTGGATAGTTTTTTTGTCAGAAATTCTAACATGTCCATTTTATTTTCTGCTGGTTTTTCTGCTTCTTTCTTAAGTCTGCATAGTCGTTTCTCATACGTTCTATCTCTTTGACGGAGTAGTTATATCTCCTCATTGCTGCTTTACATTTAGAACATTGCGGGTTCATTTTTGCGTTATACATTGAAATAAAACCAGCTAAAACAACTAAAGCGTCAATTGCTCTCTTCATCTCAAACATAGCGGGTCTTATTTGTTTGTTCCATACTTTGCCTCTTCTATCTTTATCTCTTATTTCCCAAACACATTCAGCAACTAACGAAACAAAGTTGTCGTAGGTCTTAAATTCTTCAGATTTATATATGTCAGAAACATTCTTATATACCATGTCGCAATCTTTGTCCATAACCTTATGGTTGCAATGAAATCCTAGAAACTCATAGTTTACCTTTCGTATGAACTTCTTTATTTCTACTGAGTCAGTTGGTTTCACTTCTATTTCATCGAATTCAGGAATAGTGAGTTTTTGTTGTTGGATTTCAGGCAATTTGGGTAAATGGTCGATGAGGTCCTCCATTTCATAAAGATACTGTTCATTTGTTTCATCTTTCGCACTACAGTCTAAATTACTTGTTAAAAGTTCTTGCTTTATCTTCTGGATTTCTGTTTCAAAAGTATATGAAGAAGGAATGAAGCTTTTCATTTCTACTAACATAGATGTTGGATTCATGACTAACGAGTTTGGTGCTGTTGTTTGAATTGTTGTTGTGCCGATTGTTGAAATCATGTCTTTTATACAAAATAAAAAAATAAAAAAAATAAAACTAACTTTATTTTTTATTTCGGGAAAATTCATGACAAATTCAAGAGGTGAAAAAAGAGGTGAGAAAACAGGTGAGATCTCACCTCTTCACCTAAATTATATTTTTGGGTCCTTTACACTCATTACGAAGAAGTCTTGACAAAACATTTACGAAGAAGTCATGAAAATTCAAGAGGTGAAAAAAGAGGTGAAAAAACATTTACGAAGAAGTCTTGACAAAACATTTACGAAGAAGTCATGAAAATTCAAGAGGGTAGAAATGAGGTTAGAAAACAGGTGAGAAAACGTGTTAGATCTAACCTCTTCACCTAAACTTTATTTTTGGTGTAAATTTCATGAAAATTCAAGAGGTTAGAAAACGTGTTAGAAAACAGGTGAGAAAACAGGTGAGATCTAACATTCTAACATAAACTTTATTTTTGGTGTAAATTTCATGATTTTCGAGAGTTTTAGACCATGTTAGAAAACAGGTGAGAAAACAGGTGAGATCTAACATTCTAACATAAACTTTATTTTTGGTGTAAATTTCATGATTTTCGAGAGTTTTAGACCATGTTAGAAAACAGGTGAGAAAAACAGGTGAGATCTAACATTCTAACATAAACTTTATTTTTGGTGTAAATTTCATGATTTCGAGAGTTTTAGACCATGTTAGAAAACAGGTGAGAAAACAGGTGAGATCTAACATTCTAACATAAACTTTATTTTGGTGTAAATTTCATGATTTTCGAGAGTTTTAGACCATGTTAGAAAACAGGTGAGAAAACAGGTGAGATCTAACATTCTAACATAAACTTTATTTTTGGTGTAAATTTCATGATTTTCGAGAGTTTTAGACCATGTTAGAAAACGTGTTAGAAAACGTGTTAGATCTAACCATCTACCCGACATTCTCGTCAAATACAAAAAAATGAAAAAAATGACACTTTTTCATTAGATAACTGTTATTTTTTGACGAAGTGAAGATTGACACTTCGTCAAAAAAATCCCTGAAATCATATCTTTTATACAAAAAAATACAAAAAATGACACTTTTTCATTAGATAACTGTTATTTTTTGACGAAGTGAAGATTGACACTTCGTCAAAAAAATCCCTGAAATCATATCTTTACATACAAAAAAATACAAAATACAAAAAATAAAACTAACTTTATTTTTTCTATCTTAAGGAAATTCATGAAAATTCATGAGGTTAGAAAACGTGTTAGAAAACGTGTTAGATCTAACATTCTAACATAAACTTTATTTTTGGGTCCTTTACACTCATTACGATGAAGTCTTGACAAAACATTTACGAAGAAGTCATGACAAAACATTTACGAAGAAGTCATGACAAAACATTTACGAAGAAGTCATGACAAAACATTTACGAAGAAGTCTTGACAAAACATTTACGAAGAAGTCTTGACAAATTCAAGAGGGTAGAAATGAGGTTAGAAATGAGGTTAGATCTAACCATCTACCCGACATTCTCGTCAAATACAAAAAAATGAAAAAAATGACACTTTTTCATTAGATAACTGTTATTTTTTGACGAAGTGAAGATTGACACTTCGTCAAAAAAATCCCTGAAATCATATCTTTACATACAAAAAAATACAAAATACAAAAAATAAAACTAACTTTATTTTTTCTATCTTAAGGAAATTCATGAAAATTCATGAGGTTAGAAAACGTGTTAGAAAACGTGTTAGATCTAACATGTTAACATAAATTATATTTTTGGTCCGGGAACAACTTTTTCTCAATTGGAGCTGGGGCATACTCTTTGCGTAAACGGTTCAGACCTTCTTCGAACTCTTGGTCTCTCTTCGATTTGGACTGAGATTGGAATTGCTGGGGTGGAGCTTGCTGGAACATCCAAGGGTTGGGGAAGTAAGGCATAGGCAGAGGAGGGTAGTTCGGGAAGCCTTGTGGTGGGTAGTAACCTTGAGGTGGAAATTGGTAGAAATTCGGAGGTACTTGCTGGAACTGAGGTTGCTGAGGAGACTGTTGTGGTTCTTTAGGTTCCTCTGGTTTGGGAATGGACTGGGTTGGTGGGACGTGGGACATTCGTTTGTGTCCTGTCGGAAGGAAGAACTTTTCCTGTCGGAAGGAAGAACTTTTCCTGTCGGAAGGAAGAACTTTTCCTGTCGGAAGGAAATTTTTTTCCCTTTGTCCGGAAAATTTTTTCCCTTTGTCCGGAAAATTTTTTCCTGTCGGATGGAAAAACTTTTTCTGAAGTTCGACCAAAAAGTTCTCAATTTTCGAAAATTTGAATGGTTTACGGACGGACAACTGGAAGAGTTCTTCCTGTCGGAAGGAAAAATTTTTCCCTTTGTCCGGAAAATTTTTTCCAGTTGTCGGGAAAATATTTTCCTGTCGGATGGAAGGACTCGGAATGCCAGAAGGATTTGACGAGGCAATTTACCTAATTGAACTTAACGACTGCGTAAAAGACTACTTGCGCAAGGTCATGAAGCCCAAGGTCAAGTTCACCACTATTTCTGGAAGGGCTGTCTTGAATCTCGAGACTTCGACCGGAATTCCAATTCAAATACCAGAAAACACTCCTTTCGACGACATAAAGGACGCCAAAAGAGAAGCTCTTGTTAAGTTCCTAAACAAACGTCCTTGGATAAAAATACCAAACAAGGAGAACCCCCTACCCCATATGAAATTGGCAATTCAGTCTCTCCTTCACTTCTCGGGTCAGCCGTTCTACATAACCTGTGAAGGCGACATCCAACCAGTTCAGTAAACCTTAACGTTTAACTTCACTTTTTTATGTTTTTTGTGAAAGTGTCAAAAATAAATTGTTTTCATGAGTTTTCTACGATGTTAGAAAAGTGGTTAGAAAACGTGTTAGATCTAACATGCTAACATAAACATTATTTTTCAATACTTTTTCAGCACTTTTCCGTAGTTATATATGAAAGACAATTCGAGATAAAAGTCATAGTACAATGGAATAATATGTTGCACACCATTTGTTGTGAACCAAACTTGAAAGTCAGAGAAACTGTTACTAGGTGGTTCGTAGAATTTAGAAGCAAAGTCATAAAAGTCCTTACCAATACATAGAAAACTATTGTTGCTTGAACTGAAACTTGCATGACACATAACATTTTGAGGGTCAAACACGTTTCTATAAACTGTCAAATCTGCTGGTGGAAGTATAAATTGAAATGGACCATCTGGTGGTAATGGTTCGTTCTGGTTTAGTAACCGAAGAAATTGTGCCCAAGAACGTTTGTCTACTTTCCAAAATAAAAACTCTGTATCTCTTGGAGGGTTAATTTCAATCTTTTGAAATGAAACGGTGGAGTTCATCTTGTCATATTCTAGTTTCAGATAGTATGTTCCATTTAGTAAAGAGTCGTATTTTTCTTGAAATTCCCAATAATATTTGTTCATTTGAGTTTGAAAGTCATTTAGAGTTTTCTCAAGACTTTCGTCTGAACGAACTGTAAAGATTCTCATTTCGTCAAATTTGTCTATTAGACCATCAGAACCTTTATACTGCCCATGAAAATATACTGCGAACATAAATGCGTTAGTTCTATTTGAAAACAAAACTCTTCTAAATCCTATTGCCTTTGCATCTGAAGGACTTTGAAGCCAACGAATTGGATAGTCAAACCTGTATACTCGGGATGAAATTTCTTCATCTGAAATAGTCCTACCAGCATTTGTAAAGATATAGTCTAACGGTTTTGTATCTGCTACTTTTGTTCTTTGTTTTTCAACCTGAAGCATTTAATATATGTAAAAATATATTGTTTTAAAATGGTATGCCATTTCATATTTCTCATCTAACAAACAAGTTTCCCAACGGTCTTCTCCAACAAACTCAGCGTACATTTCAAATTCGAATAAAAAAATGTCACTTTTTTAAAATAAATTTTTTACTTCATGCAATGTTTAACACATCGAAAGGCATGTCCATAAGACGTTCTTCTTCTAACCTCTCTAGTCTGTTTGGATAATTGGCACGTGCTGTTTCCAAATCCATTTCGTAGGTCAGACCAGCCAGTTTGTCATAGACTTTTATGGGTCTTCCCTTCCTATATTTAAACTTCTTCGAAACTCTCCAACCATATCTTTGCAACTCTGCTTTTATTCTAGCAGATTTTCTATCCATTCTATATGGGGGCATTTTTATAAAAATAAAAAAATATTTTTTCTTTACTTAACATAACCGCCTGCTGCCATAAGTCTTTGACGCCAACCCATACCAGCTAATGAAGGTTGACTTGGTTTAGTTTCCAAACTAAACTTTGGTTTTGGTTTATCTTCAGTTTTTGGTTTTTCTTCTTCTATCGGTTTTTGTCACTTTTCGGTTCCTCTGACTTTACTTCACTTGCAGGAACAGTTGTGTCGTCAACATCTTCATAAATATCATATGCCATTTGTTTTTGTTTTCCTTTCAACTTTTTGTGTTTGTTGTAAAGTTTAGAATATTTCGACTCTAAGTCAATGAGATGTTCTATAATGAACTGTTGGTCAGTGAAGTAAACTTTTCCATCTGTTGTCTCGAAAGCTCCTTCAGACTTCAATATTTTATTTGTGAGAGTCTGTTTCTTTTTTGAGATACTTGCCGTTCCATTTTTATGAAAAGTGACTTTGTAGTTAGGGTTTGTATTTCCAGACCTGGCACTTTCTATTATTGAATTTTTCTCTTCATCTGTAAGTTCTTTGACAGGTTTTGACAATGGTTCTGAACTTTTTGTTTGTGGTGTCAAATCTACCGTTTCAACTTCTTCGGTCATTTCATCTCAGTAAAAAATTTAGTTTGGTTTGTTTTCAACTGGTTGTTGTTGTTTTTTAAGTCGGTCTAAAACTTCCTGAGGTATAGGAAGAACTTGACAAACACGTTGTGTAACTGCTGGAAGCCGACAAATCCATCTTGAACCCATTTGTCTCAATGCTGTATTGTTCATTTCATCTCAGTAAAAAACTTTACATTCCCCACGTTTGAGGCGGTTGAGGTTGGTTATTGTTTACCCATTGTTGTGCATGGTTATATCCTCTGTTAAAGAATCTTTCACCTTGGTCCATATAGTGTCCTGCTTGGTTATAGTAGTCATTTGCTTTGTTATAATAGTTTCCTGCTTGTCTTCCTACATTGTCCATCCATCCTTGAACTTTTCCTCTTGTTTCAGGATTTGGAATAAGATTTGTTGCATCTCGTGCTACATCCCAACCTTTCTGTACAGTTTGTATAATAGGTTGTGCTTTCTCTTTAAGTATACCTAATGTACTCAAAATCTTCCTTCCAACTCCAAATACACCTCTGGCTATTGTTCCCACTGCGGGCAAAAATCTGGATGCAACTCCTGCTAATGCGCCAAATAAACCCATTTCTTATAGGATAAAAATGACGAATCCAAACAAGGACCCCTATGTTTCTAAAGCGACAAAGAAAGCACTCATGGTAAAAATCTTTAGTTCAACACCAAATGCTTGGTTTATGGATATCTTGGAAAACATTCCGAGAGTTAGAACAGATGGACCACCATACTGGCTAATATTTGTCGGTCAAAACACAAGATACTGTGAAGCCATACCATTATGGTCCAAAAATATTTTAGATGTGAAAACTGCTTTGACAATATTCGTTGACAAATACCATCCAACAAAACTGACATCTGACTGTGAAAGTTCTTTCAAATCAGATGATGTAAAAAACTATCTGCGTTCAAAAAATGTAAACCAATATTTCATTGTCGACCAAAACCATTCTGCTCTTGGTGTCATTGACGGTTGTATAAAAATGTTAAGAGACTTAAACCAACCACAAGGTGGTGAAGCAAATGAAATGTCATATGACGACAAATATAGACACTTCTCCATGGCAAAGATGAGACAAGTTTTAAATATTTACAATAGCCGTAAACAAAAAGGTTTGGGAAACCACTCCCCCGAAGAAATGAAAAACAACCCTGACTTAGAGAAAGACTATATATTTAATAATTTAGTCAAAAGAGACAAACAAGAAAGAATGCCGGGCTTCAAACTTCAGAAAGGCGACAAAGTAAAAATAGAAATACCTAAACGCGACCCATATGAAAATACTATTGACTATGACAACAATGGGAACTCGACAGGTACTCACATTCGTGTTCGTAAAAATAGAAGAAAGTATACAAGAGAATATTATGAAGTTTTAGGCAAACATGGCAAAATGTACAGACTGCAAGCAGAAGATAAAACTACTATTGTCAGACCTCGTTTCAAACTTGTCAAAGTTCAAGGTGGTATACTTTCAAAGACAGTTCCTAACAAATATAAGACAACTCCTGACGAATATGCTAAAGAAGTTGAAAATGACGACTAAGCATTTCTATACCATGCGTAAACTGTCATGTAAGGTGGCATGTATTCTTTACTTTGTCCCGTTGTTTGCGTATATCCTGAAACGCGATGTGTATGGTTTCCTCCTCCCTCAGTGTTACTCCAGTAACAATTTATAGCAAACTTAACGTTGTCTTTAACATCATATCCTTTACCTTTTGTCATTCCTGACCAATCCCAATATCTATGCTTATGCCAACCTGCTTGAGATGTACTTAAATCTATGTAGTGACTGTGTGCAGGTAAATTTTCACCTGAAATCGTTTTACTTCCACCTGTTTCCTTTGAAGAGTTTGCACAATACAAAAACCTGTCGACTATTTGAGTCCAAGTTCCAAAACCAAGTACTACTTCTGGTCTGGTAGAGTTCATTGACGTATAAATAGAGCCTATAGGATATAATGTTTGAAGTATTTCTGTCTTTAATGTTTGAAGCTCTGTTTTGTCTGCTTTCTTATCTAAACATTGCGGGTAGTTCATATGCTTCAAAGTTTCTGGCATGATCTTCGATATTCCTGCAACTCTTATCTAAATTGTTAAGAGTATCTTTTACGCTTGTACTCGGATTCTCTAAAGGTGCACTTGAACCAAGGTCAAAGTTCAGTATTATGTCGTCTGCTCTAACAGTTGTAAAACTTGTATGTGTATGAGTCTTATTTGCTTTCTTCTCTAAACTCATCGTTAACATAAGTTTTAAATTAGGAAGATATGTTTCTTCAATGGGATTTGTTGCGCAAACAACCGACACGGTTATTGATCGCACGGTTGCTGTCCAATCACGCATGAAGGTCGGAGTACTTCAAGCCGATAACATTTTGACTCATTTGGAAGGAATCTGGGATGTTGATGAGGCCCATATAAAAACGGCTCAATTTGAAATGGTAGCCCCAGAAAATACAACTGATTCAGAAACCCATACAGAATCATTCTCCGTCATGTTTAGTCCTGCAGCTATGGTTGCCGGATGCTGCACACCAACTATTGGTTATGCAGGTAATTCAGCCAATAGGCATGAAATGACTCATAGTCCAGCCATGTTTAGAGCCAAAAAGCTATTTCTTCAATGCAATGATGCCGTTTTTTCAGGCACTCAAGTTCAATCTAAAATAGTTGAGATGCTAGTTTCTGGCAATCTAACAGTTGAAACACTTAAAGGAATGTTCAGCGAGCATCTTGAAAACAAATCTTTTCAAGCTGCATTAGGAGCATTGCCATCAGCATCAGGAGCTCCAGAATCATTGTATAAGAATTGTATTGATTGTATATCCGAGATTGTTGGAACGGAGCGATTCTATTTAGAGGTTGGTAACACTCTCTACAAGAAAGGATCTTTCGTTGGTTTGCGTCCTGAAGGTTATGTAATGCGAAATCCAGATGATGAGCAAATTATTGCTAATCGAATCCAAGAAGATGAGGTTCATGAAGAATATTTCCATCATAGACCAATGGCAATTTTCGATACTATCCAAGCTACTTTAGGATTGATGAACAGTATTGATGAATTTAGACAAACTTGGAATCATATCAACTCCCAAAGTTCAGTAAATGCTGAAGATATTGAACCTGAAGAAAAGGAAGAACAAGATAAGCAAAATGAAGAAAATGCAGAAAAATTATTGCACTCAAAGCTAAACTCGAGGAGTTGAAGACCAAGATTACGAAGAATGCCAAAGATAGTGCAGAAAGAGCGAAGAATTGTAATGACGGAGAAACAAGTCAAGAAATATTGAGATCCTTTACAAACAGTGCAGAACAATGCAAATCTGAGCTATTTGCGCTTTTGCAACAAACAGAAGATGTCAGAAATAAACTAACTCCTCTTCAACGTGCTGTTTGTGATAAGGCCTTATCTTCATTAATCAAAGATAATTGTACTGTTCTAGAATTATCCAAATTATGCCAAAATACTAATGATCTTTTTAGAATTAGTGGATATTTCAAATATGAAACTCATTGTGGAACGATCTTAGATACCAGAGCGTCAGCTGAAGCTGGAATTAAGATTACAATGTATGAACATACATTTAATTTTGGATTTTTTGGAAAAGTCGGATTACAAGAAGGTGGTATTGGTGCTGGAGTGGTAGCTGGACATGAAAGCTCGAATTCTCGAACTCAAGTTAGGGTTGGTCGAAATTTGCTAGGCTTTGAAGTTGAAGGAAGCCATAGAAGCAATACGAGTGAAGGTGCAGTTGAACATGCTTTAGGTATTGGATGGGGCAGAAGAATATTGAATGGGATTGGTTATACGGAAAGTCGTGAAAGGAACGGCCATACATCAACACAACAGAATGATCTCTCACTTCGTCCTGGAAATGTTGGGTTAAATTTAACTGATACTGACTCGCATAATAATTTGACAATTGGAAGAAGAGCTCAGGTGACCGCTGATAAACCTAGTTTATCAATACAGAATATCCTTACAACAGATACTTCAAATGAAATCAACTTATTTTCTTATATTCTTTGATGATGTTATCATTTTGAATTGATATAACAAATATACCCTCATCAGAGAAGATGTGACTTTTATAAACATATTTTTAATGAATATATTTTCATTTTATTTCTCATTTCTCTTAGACTTTGATCATCTGAGTAAGATTCATCATCAATTTGAAATTGATCTTTGTGCTCAGAATCATTTAATATTATAGAGAACAAATACTTGCATTATGCGTCAATAATCTTAATTAGAGATAAAATAGTCATATGGTGAATAAAGTATAGCAAATTTCATCAAATTTAAAATAAAGTTTGAAAACAAATTTTTGGCGGTCTGACATATAATAAAATATTAATACAAGATTTTTGGGGCTTGATTATTACAGTATTTTAAATAACTACTTTGAGGTTGAATAATATTTCCGCCAAATTCGTAAATATATCTATAAAAAGATCAAAAAGAGGGGAACAACATTAATGTAATAATAAATTTCTTATTTAATCAAAATTCTCTTATGTGTACCCTCCCCTAAAATTTTCAAAAAAAATGGTGTCCATCCTAAAGAAACTTTTTTCTTATGGGATGAGCCCAGATACAACAATTCCAGACAATATAACTGTTTCTCAACCATCTGGACCTTTAATGGTTGAAGAGCATTATTACTATAATACTTTTGATAATAAAATTATCGATGAACTTCAAAAGAAACAAAGCAAATCTAACAAAGTTAGTATCGCAATACAATCAGCTTCAGAGACATCAATTATTCCTAAAAATTTTACCCGTAAACCAAAATTTCAACCAAAACTATGCACAGAATTAATAGATATCATTCCTCCACCTGTAGTTGAAGAACCTCCTCCAGCTCAGGAAGTCCCACAAGGCAAATCTGTTTCAGGAGGCCTTGGCGCGCCAAAAGGTCAAATCAAATTATCACTTGGAGGAAAGCCAAATCTTAGTGGTGGTGCTGCTCCAACTCTTAATATGTCTAACGGTGCTGCAGGAACATCAATTCCTAAGCTTCAGCATAATATTGGTGGTAAAAAGGATGATGATAAATCTAAAGACGCCAAACCTACTACAGGACTCAAACTTAACACTCCTTCTCTTGGAGGCAGTGGAGGAGGAGGCCTTAAATTGGCTGCACCAAAACTTTCGTTATCAACTACTCCAAAGACAGAAGAGGCTAAGCCAGCTGATGCTCCAGCCGGAGACAAGCCAGCCGAACCAGCTGCAGCTCCTGCAAAACCAGGCGGACTCGGATTATCAATTCCTAAGCTTGGAACTACACTCGGAGCTAAGCCAGGCGGTTTATCCCTTGCTAAACCAGGAGTTCCAGCTGCTCCTGCTGCAAAACCAGGAGGTTTATCCTTATCAATTCCAAAAATACCAAGTGCCGCACCAACGCCAGCTGCTCCTAAAGAACCAGAAGCTCCTGCCGAAACTACAACTACTACAACTACTCCTGCTGCACCTGCTGCAGCTCCAGCATCCAAACCAGGATTTAATTTCACAATTCCAAAGGCAGGTGCTCCTAAACCAGGTGGTATCACTCTTCCTGGTCCTAAGGCACCCGCTGCTCCTGCTACTGGCGCTAAACCAGGTATTACTAGTTTATCTCTTTCTAAACCAGGTTCTGGATTTAATCCAGTAGCTCATGGCCAACCAGCAGCACCAGAAGCAGCTCCTCCTGCTGTCGAACAAGCTCCAGCCGCTGAACAACCACCTGCATCAGAACAATCTTCTGAACAGCCAGCTCCTGAGCCTGCTCCTCCTGCAGAATCAAAGCCATCCTTAGGTTTTAATTTGTCCAAACCAGCCGGATCGAATTTACCAAAATTTGGCGGTTTCAACTTAAATATTCCAGGAAAACCAGCAGCCAAACCTGCAGAACCAGCACCAGCAAACACTTCTGCAGCAGCACAAGCATCAGGTGATGAATGGGATGCAGTCGCAGGACAACCTCCTCCACCAGCACCAGCGACAACTTCTAAGCCAGGAAATACTGGACTTGGACTGTCTCTGCCATCAACTAGTTCCGCAGCTCCTGCAAATAAAGGCTGGGGAACTGTTGGCGCCAATAATGGTTGGAGTACAAATAAACCAGGAAATGCTTCCTCTGGATGGAGTATGGCTTCTAAGCCAAGTGCTTCAGGAAATGGATGGGGTTCAAGTAAAGCTTCAGGAAATGGCTGGGGTAGTGGTTGGAAGAAATAATATAGAGTTTAATTTTATTATAGAGATTTATTATTATATTTGTTATTTTTATAAAAAATTGCAATTATTTACTTTTAATTTGGCAACTTGTTATCTGTATGTTTACTTTAACTATTGATTTGTTTTAAAAATAAATTAAACTTGTTTTGAAGAATCGTAGAATCCTTTTTCTTTTCATATCAAGTCTTCTTCTAAGCTAATAGAACGTTTGAAAATGAGTTATTTGTTTTAAAATTCATGAAATTTTTATAAACACAAACAAAAAAAAATATCAATCATGTAATGACTCTTGGTCAAGGGTATTTAATATGTTCTCAATCAATGGAACAATTGATTCATCTTTGGTATTATTTATTAAGTAACCAAAACTATTAATAGCAGATTCAATATCAACATTTTCTATCGGAATATCTAACTGGCTCTTTGCTTTCAAGTAGTCGATCAATATATTGAAACTTCGAATTATTATTTCTGCATCTAATGCAGAAGAGTCATCAATACAATCAACAATTTCATCTATTATGGGTAGTATTTGGTTCATGTAGTCATCAAAGTTCTCTTTTCCATACAATTTAATTATTAATATTGAAAATATTATGTTAAACTTAGGATGATGTTGAACATGAATAAAATCTTGGAGATACATCAATATATAATCTTCAGGGTCTCCATAATATAATAAATTTATCAAATCATCAAGAACATCGAACTTGTCAAAATAAAGCTTCATAATGGCATCAAAGAATCCATATTGTAAAATTAAGTTAGAATCTATACTTAAAATAAGAAAGTGCGTAAAATTAGTTAATGATTCAATAAAAGGCTTTGATTCTTTTGTTACATTACTAATATTTATAATATATTTTGGAATAAAACTCAGTAATGCTTCATAATTATTGAATTCTATTGGATAGTGACTTAAGATTGATGAAAATAAGTTAATTGCTAAAATTTTCTGCTTTGTTGTTGATGCTTCACTAACAATTATATCACTAGATATCGCCAGACAATCTTCAATATTAATGGAATTTTCAACGGGGAAAGTAATAAATTTTGTTATGAATTTGAAAGCTGATTGTTGCATTTTACAGCGATAATTTGCATCAAATTCTTCAGATACAAGATTGAAGTCTAAGCGTTGAATACTGTCTGGATTTATCATTATTTGGAATATTTTCCCTGAAAGATTGCATAAATCATCAGGATATTCAGATATTGTGTCAACTAATAATAACTTTACCGCAACTTTAATAATTCTAAGAAAAAATGGATAAAACGCAAGATTCTCCATGATATCATTAAAATATGCTAAAATTTTCAATTGTATTAATTGTTTTATATCAGAAGGAGAGCAATATATCATTGAATTAATGATCGAAAGCATATCATCCAATAAATGAGGATAATCAAGGCAAAATGCTAGAAGTGGCTCAGAAGCTTCCATATTTAACAAACTATTCTTAAAAATGATATTTTGTGAATGATATGATTGGATTTTTGTTTTAATAATTTTGATAAATTGTTTTACTTCATTTGGCCTATTAAAATCGAGTAATGTTGAGTCAGGAAATCCAAAATTTGAAAGTGAAACACTTGAATCTTCTTCATTAGTTTTGATATTACAATCTTCTTGAGACTTGAAATTCATTCATGAAAAATAACATTAAAAAATGCAATATCAAGGATAAGTTTAAGATTAAGAATATTTGAGATGTTCTATTTCCTTTTAAAACGTTTTGAAGAAAGATCACGAGATAATTTTCTTTTTTCCAGCCATTTATTAAAGTTTTATTATTAATTATTTAAGCACAAGAGAAATTATATCACATTTTAAATAAATAACAGAGAATTTTGTTATCTGAATGCGCTCAATTGAACAACGTTATTTCTCAAATCATATTTTTATGTTTCATATCAAAGTATGCCCTATGTGTGACCCATGTTCTATGTTAAAAATGTTCAATCTTAACTTTTTATAAAATATGACATCATGCAATAGACTCGGAGCATTTTTTAATATTTTAATCCCACGTTCATAAATAGATAAAATGAAAATCCTTATCGAATGTAATGGCAGAAAAAATTGATTGAAATTCTCAAAAAGTGGATTTGAATCAGACATCAGCAAGTCGACTTTTATCAAATAACATGTATTATTATTTCAATTGTTTTAAGGGTTTCGTTTTGCGAAAAAAACGTACAATACGCAATTTCGCTAAAAAAACATTTAGCTAGCAATTTCGACCTTTGACTCCACTCAAGACGTCACTTTTTTAATTTTGCGGTATCATATTTTTGGAAAATCTTTATGAATATTATATAAAAAGTCTCTTTAATATAGGGCTGTACAAGATTTAAAAAAACATTGCCGGGTTACCGTAGAGGCCTAAAAAAATCGCGCCTCGGCGGCAAGCCGCCTCGGCATTAAGAATGCGCATCTAAATTTTTATATGTCCTTCTTTCTTTTATTTTTCCCTTCCCTTTCTTTTCTTTTTCTTTTTTTTCCCTCCTCTTGCTCTCATTTACCTTTTTTTTCCTTTTCTCATCATTTTTCAAAATTTTAAATTTTTATCAAAAATCTTGCCTATAAAAGCAGACTATGGAACCTTTTAATGCCTCTTAATCAATATTATATACAGCATAAAGCATATTAAATGAAAGTAATTACGTATAAATTTTATTTATTATCTTATTTATTAATTCTTTAGCATGTATTGTTTAATATTAACTTTTCTGTACATTAAATATGATATCTCCAAAGTATGAATGCCTTGTAACGAAACGAAAACTTAATTTTATGTTGAATATTTGTCACAAACATTAGATTATTAAAATATATGTTGGATATCCCTTAGTATGAGACTTCATGACTCTTGTAGTCTAACGTGAGCTTTGGATTGCAAGCTCTGTGGTTAACGACAATAATTAATTGTAAAGTTTTCAAAATTTTTCATCGTTTCTATCAGCATCTATTTTTCCTTTAAAATAATATATTTGTATGAATACAATTATTAGTAATTTTTTTATTTCCCATAATTTCATTCAAAATTTCAGAAAAAATTAATTTCTATTCAATATTATTTCAGCTTCAAAACACTTCATTCTTATAGATGTTGATTCACTAAAGTGTGATACTCAATGTCTTATTTCAATGAAAATTGTTCTGCAAATTTATTTCACTTTTGACCTCACTTTTTCCGTAATTCAATTTTTTACTTTTAATATTTTAGATCTTCATAATATCATTTGAAAAATTAACCATAATAAAAATCAAGTTATCAATTCACTTTTTCCGTATTCAAAAATCAAAAATATAAATAATATATCTTTTTATCAAATATTATTATTATATTCTATGAAAAATGAGGTCCGGAATTTTGCGGATTCCGTAACTCAATTTTACGGAAAAAGTGCAGTAAACTATTCAAAATACGGAAAAATTGGTGTAAACTAATGATTTTACGGTAAAATCACGGAAAGTCCCGGAAGAATATATGTGCCTATATGAAATTATACAAAAATGAATCAAACGCATTTTAAAAGATTGTTCTTGTATTATAAATGCTATTCGCAGATTTATTAGTTGAAGAAAATTACCAAATTTTTGCCGATTTACAAAAAATGATTTACAAAGCATATTTTTATAAGGCTTTAAAAATCTTTAAAATGTGACCGGTGACGGAAATCCATGGTAACCAACCGCGGTTCCCGTTTGGAATGCCATACTTTAATATTTATATTTCATATTTTTATCGATTTTTAAAGTTTTTGCGAAAAGTATTCAATTATTTTTGCTATTTGGTCGGGTAAATGTCAGATTTGCGACATTTTCTGATATGATATTCAGATTCTACGTTGATAATAATGCTTATAGAACCCTCTTGCTATTGTGTCAAAATTGCGAAACCGATAGCAAAAATATCTCGCAATATCAAAATTGAGATATTGAGTGAATTATGCATTATAGAGATTAAAAATCTGATTTGTGAAAACATCTCATCAGTTTCTAGCTAATTCAAAAATCTTTACTATCTTATTCGATTAAAATGAAAAGGGAATAGTTTCATTATGCTTTAAATGACAGCCTTATAATATAATCATAGTTTTCGCTCAATATGCAGCATTTTTTTTTCGAAATCTATGGTCAATATCCTAAATACTGATTGCTTTGCATTCATATCTCTTACATTTTCTATACCCACATCACTATTCATTGCTATTCCTATCTTTTTCATTTTTGTTTGTTTCTCATAATTTCTCAAAAAACATGATAACTTGATATTTGTAAATATCATACTTTATAACGTAAATAAGAACTTGACCTATTAAGAAAAGCAGTAATGAAAAGAAAATCCGAAATTCATAAAAATTACAAGTTTCTGATGACAATTAGCTTAATTAAACCAGGTACAAGATTATATAATTGTATTTTCTATCCAATTATCCATATAATATCTTATCCAGAAAAAATAACTTGATCAATACCAAATGATTTTTTAACTAGTAAATAAAGTATTTTCTTTACACACACATTGTATAAAAAAAAAAAAAAAAAAAAAAAAAAAAAAAAAAGGTAGTGGGGCTTCCAGGCACTTCGTGCCTTCTAGCCCTGAGGATGTTTTGTCAAGACTTCTTCGTAAATGTTTTGTCAAGATTTCATCGTAAATGTTTTGTCAAGACTTCTTCGTAAATGTTTTGTCAAGACTTCTTCGTAAATGTTTTGTCAAGACTTCTTCGTAAATGTTTTGTCAAGACTTCTTCGTAAAATCAGACAAAAATATATTTTAGGGTAGAAGGTTAGATATAACCTCTTTTCTAACCTCTTTTCTACCCTCTTGAATTTGTCAAGATTTCTTCGTACATGTTTTGTCACTTTTCTGTCACTTTTCAGGAAAAAACATTTTTATTATATATATAAAATGAATTTTACAAAACCACCGTTACCCTTCTTTGGAAATAAGAGTAGATGTAAAGATATTCTATTGAGAGAACTTAAGAAACTACCGAATGGTCTAACATTTGTAGACTTGTTCGGTGGAAGTTTCTATATATCTCATTTGTGCCATACAATATTTCCTGACTCAAAGATTATATGCAATGACTTCGACAACTATATGAACCGTCTCAAACATATACCAGACACAAACAAAATATTGAAAGAGTTAAAAGAAAAGATACCTATAGGTAAGATGGAACGTATACCATTAGATAAGAAAAATACTGTCAGAGAGGTTTTGAAAAAGGCAGAGTATATTGACTGGGATAGTATATCTGCTAGACTATTATATAGTGGTGCTATAAGAGTTCATGACATTGAAACACTTATGTCAAAAGTTTTATATCTTAACTATACAAATGTTTTCAAAGAGAACATAGAAAAATATATTGAGGGTATAGAGTTTGTGAGATGTCATTGGACAGAGTTGTATGAAAAATATAAAGACAAGGAAAATGTTTTCTTTATAGTGGCCCGCCGTTCTATAACACATGGGATTTTCAATACCAAGTAGACTGGACTTTGAGAGACTCTTTAGAAACTTTAGACGTTTACATAACCATCCATGCTTTTACTTTACATCCGATAAAAGTGGTTTGGAAAGTGTCATGAGATGGTTAGAGGACATACATGACTATGAGTTTAGATACGATAAGATAGAATATGAGAGAGGTCCTATAAACTGGAGAAAGTGTCATAACAAAGAAATTTTACTAGTAAGTAAATGTGGTTTGAAATAGGACTACTTGTTTTAGGTTTTTTCCATTGTGTCATTTACTTATTTGACGTGGCAGAAATATAGAGAATATGAAGATGAACCAATGCCTGCAAATGTTCAGCATATGTACTCGTAAGAGATATTTTTTATCTAATATTAAATGGACGCACAGAACTTAGCGAATGCACAGCAACCTGGACAACCAAACCCAGAGAATATTCCAAATGAAGTTAGAATACAAACTGCAATGGCAAACTATGGTCAAGTGCCAACAGATGTACAAATGCAAACTGCCATGTCAAATGACGCTGCGTTAGGCTTACCACCATGGTATGCAAATATGAGATGGAAAGAGTTTTATACAAACCCTGAAGTGGGATATAAACAACTCTATGCAGATGACGCGAACACAGGAGTTGACCCAGAGTATGTTTTCTACCAGAGGAGAAATAGAATGTATGAGCTCCAGTTAAAGAATGCTATGGAACTCAACAGGAAACGTAAGAGACTAGGTGGACATTAGATTTTTACATATAGTAAAATGGGTTTCTTCAGTAGTATTGGAAACTTCTTTCGAAATGTTGGAAGAGGTATATGGAATGGAATAAAAACCGTAGGAAGAGGAATTTGGAACGGAGTCAAAAATATTGGTAAAAGAGTAGGTCAGTTCGTTGGTATTATACCTAAAGACCCTGAACCAAGAAGAACAAGCTCCTGTTATACAACAGCCTGAACCTGCACCACAGTCAAGTTGGCAACCAAATCCAACACCTCAACCGTATTAAAATTATATTTTTACCGTTCGATAGTAGTTGTATATGAAACTAAGTTCTAAGTAAAACGCGTGGTATAATGGAATTATTCTCTTTCTTCCATCTGTAGTAAACCATACTTGAAAGTCTGAAATACTTCCACTTGGTGGTTCGTATAGCTT